GTAATAACGGAGAACAAAAGTTTAATTGGAAATCATAAGTCACAAGGAGTGGATGCATCTGCACCAGCCACTGAGAACGATTTTGAGCCATGTCACCAATTGTTTCCAACCATTGGTTTTTACCATCCCGAGGGCCCCAACCAGGAAGTCTACATCTTCCTACGTGGCTTAGATTAACTGTTGTGGATTTCATTGATTGGTGCCATGTTTTGGTTTGACCGCCGCTAGCTCTTTTCCAGCCTGACCCTATATCAGCTAACATTGCCCGTCAGTCGAGGAAGGCGATGACTAGGCATACGTAGCACATGTCCTAACCATCTCAGTCGAAGTAATTTCACAGTCTCGTCGATTGATTTCCCCGCCTTACCTAGCACTCGACGCCTAACCTCAATATTGCTCACCTTATTATACCACTTCACGCGGGAGATAGAACGCAGACACCTATGATCGAAGACAGCTAATCTTTTCATGTCTTCTGCTCTCAATGGCCAGGTCTCACAGCCATAAAGGAGGACGGAGCGGACTGTTGAGCAGTACACACGCCCTTTGGTCGATAGTCGGATATCGCGTCTACGCCAGAGACGGCGAAAACTGGCGAATGCGAACCTAGCCCTCTGTATTCGTGCTGAAATTTCGTCGGAGATCAACCCGTTGGGGCTGATGGTACTTCCCAAGTAAGTGAAGCGGTCAACGTGTCCTACCACTTCACTTCCTATTTCTAATCTAGGGGTCGATGAAGTCCAATCCTGAAGCATCATCTTACATTTTATAGGGGCGAATCGCATGCCAAACATGCGGAGATTGTTGCTCAGGGTGTTCAGTAGACTCTGCATTTTGTCAGAGTCCTCGCCTAGAAGCACTATATCGTCCGCATATTCTAAGTCAACGAGATTATTCCCTGGTAGCAAGTCAATCCCTGAGTCGCTGAAGTGAGTTAGGGTTAAGTCCATTAGTACATCTATGATGAAATTGAATAGGAATGGGGATAATGGGCATCCTTGACGGACGCCACTAGTCGTCTCCACTTCAGATGACAACTCGCCATAAGCCCTCACCTGGCTGCATGAGTACGAGTAGAGTGCCTTAATCAGTGCAATGTATTTTCTTGGCATTCCCTTTACAGCCAAGCATCGCCAGAGCACCTCCCGGTCGACAGAATCGAATGCCGCCTTTAGGTCAAGAAATATAATGATTGTCGGACGCCGGTAGGAATGCCTATGTTCTAGAATCTGTCGAAGGGTGAAGATGTGATCAATACACCCTCTACCTGGCCTAAAACCTGCCTGGTTTTCTCGTGTTTGTGTCTCCCGAGCACCACTTAATCTACGCAGTATTATTGAGCCTAGGATTTTAGATACTATATTAGTCAAGCTAATCCCTCTGTGATTATCACAAGACGACTTGTCCCCCTTCTTGTATATCGGGATGATCAGTGACTTACACCAACCCGATGGGACTTCCTCTGATTCCCAGACGCTGCCTAGAACCTCCGTTAACGCAGACAGTAAACTGTCGCCTCCGTACTTAAATACCTCTGGAGTCAATAAATCAGGTCCCGCTGCTTTGCCTAGCTTCAGATTGGTGACAGCTTTAGTAACCTCGGTTAAGGACGGAGGACCTGTGTCTATCTCCCATTCAGGGAGGTGTTGGATGTCCGGTAGGTTAAGTGTGGCTGTGGGCCAATTAAACTGCTCCTCATAGTGTTCTTTCCAGCGCTCCAGACGTCTCTCCTGGGAGCTAATTATGGTGCCATTTTTCTCGGAGATTGTTTCGCTTATCATTTGTTTTTTACCACCTGTTTCCCTGATAAGCCTGAATAGTTGTCTGGTGTTGCCTATCGCCGATGCTTTTTCCATCTCATTCGCCTTTGTCAACCACCACTGTTCACGGTCCTTGCGGAGACTTTTCGTAAGTTTCCTCTTGTGCAGCTTTCGCTCCTCATTGAATTCGGAGCTCGCCGGAATAAGTCTTCTAGCATCTATCAGTTCGGATGAGGCAGTCGAAATCCAGTGGTTTTTACTCACCTTTGGAATTACCTTATTCACAGCTTTTACAGCTGTATCTATGGCTGACTGAATATTCTTCCAGGCTTCTTCAGGGTGAGCGCAGCTGTCAAACTCAGATATGTGTTTAGCTAGTTCTTCCTCAAATAGGGACTTAGTTCCCTGGTCGAGCTGGGGACGTGATGGGTTTACCGCCAGCTGTTTCCTACGTCCGTTCAGTCGTAAGCACACACGAGCGCGGACCAGTGCGTGATCGGTATCTACACACGTGTTCCAGAAGGAGCGACAATCTCCTACCGACCCACGCCAACGATAGCTTATTGCTATGTGGTCTATTTGTGTCCAACGTTGATTTGATGATGGGGGTCGCCAGGTCAAACAGTGTCTCTCCTTGTGTTTGAAGTTAGTGCTTACAAGATACAAATGATTATCTGAACAGAACTGTAGGAGACGGTCACCGTTGTCGGTTCGCTGGCACGGAATTCCGTATGTGCCACCAACATTCTTCTCAGATTGACACAATTTCCCTACTTGAGCATTAAAGTCACCAGCTAAAACGACTATATCTGAGCGTCTAGCCTTTCGCAGCAAACTAGACAGCTTTTGGTAGAACTCGTCCTTCGTTTCATCCGAACTGCAGTCAGTGGGGGCGTAGGCGGAGATTACGAAAAGGCATCGGCGAGTAGTGCAGTCCTTTCTCCTTTTCACTGATCCGTTCAGGCGGACAGCGCACATTCGGCTATCTACCGGGATCCAGTCAAGTAATGTCTTTTCTGCTCTAGTACTTAAAGCTATCCCAACACCAGCTAATCCTCGTGAGCTAGCCGTCGCATCTCCTGACACCCTCAAGGTGAATTTTGCAGATCCTTTTGGCCAGGTGGGGTTAGGTGAATAACCACACTTGGGTCTTGTATGCGTGTTTCTGAAACACAACATACATCAATGGCTCGGGATGCCAGAGTCTTGGCTAGTGATGCTTGTTGTCCTATAGTGAAAGATAGTAAAATTGATTCTAGAACGTCTTTCAAACCCCATTGATACGACATATCTGGTGTGCACAGCTATATTTCTTGAAGCCCTAGTCATAAAAAGTGTCAAACCTATTTTGTGTCCGAAAATTACTTGTTATCACATCCAACTTCTCTTGATAATTCATATTTAAAATTATTAAGAGGTACTTGCCCACTAATATTATATTTTTGTCTGTGATTTTAACTCTATTGTCTCCAATTTGATCTGTAAACAAGACTTGTGTGGACTGATTCAATACCATGATTTCTGTAAATCAAATATCTCTTATATCGGTATCAGTTTCTCTTCGAATCTCCGTTGGTTATCTCATATCTTGTTGATTTCTAAGAAAACTTTTCGTTCAACTTATTGCATAAAGAAGTTGAGGATTTCTGATGGCATAACTCAACCTCTTCTCTTACAATTTACTAATTCATGTCTTCTACACACTCTGCTTTATGGTTCCTCCCTATTCTTCTTCAGGCTTTTGAAGAAAGACTATATCATTTTACATAGAGCATTGAAGGCTGTAAGTGGGCTTAGTGGTTTGCCTGAATGACACTGTCATTCCTACAAGCAATTCGCTAAAGTCATCTCACCCAATACCGAACATCCTCTTTATTCACAAATTTTCCCCTGTATCTCTTCGGTTAAAACGAGAAGAAGAGCTCCTAAGAATTTATGCTAGCACAACAAAATATAAAAATTCAACCATACCATATTTAGTAGGGGTTTTGTGTGAAGAGACAGATGTCAGAAGGAAGCTTATGAACTTTATAAATGAGTAACTGAAATGTAAATTATAACAAGAATTATTGTTACATAGATTATTCATTGAATTATTTATTTATTGCTCACTATATTCCACTAACTTTCAGACTTTGTGGTTTTATTATTTTTACTATTTTAGGTATTTATACATTTATGAAAGGAGCTAAACTGTCGCAATACTTATAGAACGCTGAAAATTCCATTCTATAAAATTATTATTGTTTGGAATAAAGAGATTATTATTAGTATTATTATTGCGAACCAATATAACCCTGGGTCTTCTCAAGTGTCAAGACAAGCTGGTTGACCATTCTGCCACTGAAACACACACACACAGTAGGTGTGGGTCTTTGTCAATTACATGGAATCGGAAGTGTTTGCCGAGTAACCTATTTCTTTTTAGGTGTTAGTTTGTAGAGACTTGATTGGTTTCAAGTTTGATCCCGGATGGATATCGGCTAGAGAATCATTGGGTGCCGGTGGCACTGGCTCTGAAAGTCGCGAACTAACAGAAGTTAGAATTCCATGTCAGTGGCTGAGAATGGTCAGTGGGCTAGCTCGGTAACGTGAAAGTTCTTGAACAGGTACCCAGTGGAGTCATCAGTGCGTTCTAATGAAGAGTCCTAAACAAGGAAAAGACAGCTGTCTAGTACTCCCTGGTTTCCAATGGCTTTGTAAATGAAGTCAGTTTAGAATGATCCTTGAAATCAATCGAATCCCTGCAAATCAAACCTTGATAATTAATCTAATGCTCACTAGTGACTGGCCGTACACAGAAAGTTACCCGAGGTTCTAGTGAGACATCGTAACCAGCTGGGTCCATGAAGTCAGGCAAGAGGATAGTTACTCGCCTGTGACACTGACTGGAGGTCGTGCTAAATATACATCACTGATTGGCAGAAGCTGGAATTTATCAACCACTGGGTCGGGTCCGAGCGGCTGAACGGTCTACGAGTTCTCTACGCAGGCGGTTGGCCTTGGGTCCAAACCCCAGTGGATGCGTGCTGGTGAAGAGTTATAAATTAGTACGACAGTTATCCAGTACTCTTCGATTTTCCAGTGGTTCTCTGACTGATACATATGTATATATTAGGCCAACACATTATATACCTCAGATAAATTGTGTCAAGGAGAAACTAACTAGACAAGCTGTTCAGATGACTAACTCACATACACATGCATTTACATGATGTAGAAAACAACACTACAACTTACTCCATTATTTTCTGCATACCCTGAAACCGAATATGTATACATCAAGTATTTTCCATGACTTGTTGCTGGTGGATTACATTCCTTTGTATCAGGATCATGATCTGCACCCCAACTATGACCTAATTCATGAGCTGTAATCAATTCAGCTAGTGCATTAACTAGTTGTTGACCATTGTAATCAACATAAGTAGTCCATCCTGTATTTAAATATAAAATTCCTTTACTGTTTTGTCGAACTAATTTGAAGTAAAAAAAAAAGAAGAGAAGAAAAGAAAATAACGTCTAATTTCTACACGTATCTCATCACTAATAGAAACACAAAATAATCGAGCAAAGAATGTCCTTTTCGATAAATTCCTCTTCTGGCTCTACAATCATATATATATATATATATATATATATATATATATAGAATATTCTAGATTAGTAGTCAGTAACGATATTAGTGTTTCTTAATAATATCGACTTCTTAAGTAAGAGCAATGGAATTACAGTTCACTAAAGACGCTTAAATTATAATAATAATAATAATAAAGATATAATAGCAAATAGAATATCAACTAAAATTGAAGAAATCTCCACAAAAATTGAGGAACATTCAAATCTAGATGGCCAAGGTAAGGATAATGTCTGAACTAACTTCTTTTGGATGCATAAATTAGGCTTCTTAATGTGGATCCCAAAAGCCAGCCTCGGCAATATTTAGTAATCGAACTCTTAAGATTTGTTGGTATGCGGTAAATGACTTTGAAAGCCTGGTTAACATCAATCTTGTGTTCTGTATCCACAAGATGAGATAGAATAGCGCTACGAATAGATTTTGTTTGTCCTTTACTTAACCACTATGCAGGGTGATGTTCAGAAATCCGACGAGAAACACACCTAATTGTACGGCCTATGTAACTGGCTCCACAGGAGCAGTTAAATTGGTAGATATACATGGAAGAGGCGAAATTAGGCAGTTTATCTTTTACTCCCGAACGTAAAATAAGGGTGGTTTTGAAGACAAGGCGTAATTCAGCAGCAGGGAATGCTCTTTTTACCGTATTTCTAAGGCGCTGTGTTAGTATCTCGCTGATGTTGTCCCCGAGGAAATGAATTTGTAAGAATAAGGCCTTTTTAGGAACTGTTGGTACCTTGGGCTACTTTGATTTTAGATTCATATTCTTATCAATAAACTTTTTTGGACAACCACTTTCACTCAGCAACCGTTTAGTATTGTTAAGTTCCTCATCAAAACAATCATCCGAGCAGATTGCTCTTGCTCTATGAACCAAGCACTTTATCAGATTGCGTTTGTATTTTAAGGGCACGAAGCTGAAAAAAAAAGAGTATACTGACCCGTTGACGTAAGTTTTCAATATACACTTCTTCTTATTGTGCCATCCTCTTTTCTGGTCATAAGGAAGTGTAGAAATGAAATACTAGAGTCTTTTTCTTTCTCAATAGTAAAATTTATTGCAGGATGAACCTCGTTAAATTTATCCAGGATGTTCTTTGCTTCCTCCTTATTTTTCATCATCAAAAATGTATCATCCATGTACCGGAAATAGAATTCAAGTTCATCAATAAGATTTTATAATTCAGTATGACGGTTGATTGTTGTACTTGATTATTAGAATGTTAATTGCCTAAGCTAAATAATTACAATTCTATTTCACTTCTATGAAACAGTATATACTGTTGAAGAAGCATAACGTGGCTACAGGTAAATCTTACTTGATGAGAATGCGGAACCTTCTAGCTTTAAGGGCCCAACAGCAATTTCCTCTTAGGAGTTAATTTGTAGGGATTTCATTAGTTTCAAGCTTGATCACGAGTCGACATCAATTAGAGAACCACTGGAAAACCAGAGAGTATTGAAGAGCTGTTTCATCCATCAGAAGTATGCACTCACCAAGGTTCGAACCCAGGACCACCTTACAATTACAAGTCAACCTCGTAAGTCACTCAGCTACTCGGACACGACCCGATGGCTAGCCCATGAATTCCAACTTCTACCAATTGGTGATTTTAGCACGACTGCCACCAGCTTAATTTCAGCGGCGAGTGTTTGTCCTCACTGCTGATCTGGGTGATGGATCCCACTGATCACGACTTCTCATTAGGACTCCAGGTTGTGAGTGCGCATCGCTGAAGAATGATAAACCAGGATGAAATAAATATTCACTGTTCTTTGTTATTTTGTTTTTTTATTTTTGATTACAGCTTGATGCCACACCGTATTTTCTGTACAAGTATGGAATTTTCAGCATGGATATCGGTAGCCCAAATTTTGCAGGCCGACCATAGATATCAGGTGTGCGTCGGCAGGGGATCGAACCCCGGACCATGTGCATGGTCGGCGAGAGTCCTAACCACTGTGCCACCAGTCATTATAAAATCTGTTGTTGAACATGAGCATGTGTGCATCTAAGAAATGTGCTTTCCTGTTCTAATCCCATAGATAAAACATATTGTAAGTATAAAATGAAATGTTGGAACTCTATAGACTGTTTAGAAATCGGTTTTAATCGTGACCAAACTTGAAAATTAACAGGATGCTCGCTAGTGATTGGCTCTACAGGATAAAGTTGACTGGAGTTCTAGTCAGAAGTTGTGACTAGTGTGGGGTCCATCACCAGATTGGGAGTGAGAACAGATACTCAATGATAAAACTGGCTGGTGGCAGTTGCGCTAAAATCACCGATTGGTAGAAATTTGGATTCATGGGTTAGCCATTGAGTAGTGTCCCAATAGCTGAATAGTCAATGAGCTTGACTTGTAATCAAAACGTCCTGGGTTCAAACCCTGATGGTGGGTGTGTAGCTCGGAAACACCTGTCCGGTACTTCCTGCTTTTCAATGGTTTTCTGACTGATATCAATCTATGGTCAAACTCAAAAAGTTTCATTTCAATTACAACATATAACTAAGCTATAGAACACATTACGTGCAAACCCAAACAGATCACAGTGGGAAAGAAGCCTGTCTTCATTCAACTCGATTTTGACGGTGAAACTGTTGCAGCAATTGTCAACAGAAGATAGAGGGCATCACTAGCCAGAGCCTATCCTGCAGTTGGTTCCCGTCTATCGGACCACATGATCCTTGGTGCAATCAAAAGTCGACAGATACCCTTCTCATGTTAACTCTAACTGCGTATACAAATCTATCTGAGGGAGCAGTTACATTGGAAGAACAGAAAGAAGGGCACACCTCCGATTTCCTCAACATGTATCGAAAAGCCTACGTCTCATGAGAGCAAACGTTTACAATAGTGCCATTACTAGGCATCTCCTTGATACGGGTCATGAGGTGGAAATCACAGAATCCTTTAAAATTATCAATAGACAAAAAAGTTCAATTCCCCTCAAGTTTGATGAAGCAATCTCTATAAAACACCTGAAATCTGATTTACGTGTTCAGAAAGAAGCAATTATCAGTCGTTCCCCTGTTCATCCTGGGGACTGGATGTCTTTATTCTCTCTTTCATTCGATTACGTAATCTTTGGCTTTAACCTCACCTTCCCCTGACATAGTGTAATTCTGCATGTCTCTTTTTTCTATAATTTGAGTTGTATTCAGTACATTGTTATCCAATCTATTGGGTTCTCATCATCTGGCGCATCTCTCGTCTTTGTTACGCAACTCCATCATTGTATGCATACACTTAAATTTGTTTAAGCCTGAGCTTCCTGTGCAAAAACTATATAAGCGTAATTTTCTAAGCACTATTCATTTAAGTTCGGAGCCTCCTGTCAACTGGCATCATGTAAAATTTACAAGTATGTTAAAACTTTGATGATATTAGATAGTTGGAGGCAATCGGCCACGGGAAGCCTAGCCTTCGACTTAGGTTTTGTGCTAGTTGGCACTCACCAGTCAGTCAGCAAGGCGTATCTGCAACCACCTTGAAGGAACTCATGTCCCTTCTGAGATTCGAACCCGCGTCACCCAGTGCCGCTTGCAGTCAGAGACGTTACCACTGAGCTTTTCGGCCTCGCGATTGACTTCCTGTAGGACTGTAGTGAGTAGTTTGATTGGACACTAGCAACTAGTGTGACGTGTCTAGTCCTTTCTTTGGTGCACGTTTGCAATGTGGCCACCTGAGTGATAGAATTCAGTCTTCATCAAAGAAAGGACTAGACACGTCACACTAGTGCCCAATGAAATTGTTAAAACTTTCCTGTACATAAACTTAATTATTTATTTAGACTGTAAGCAGCTGATGAGAAGTCAACAAAATAAATGCTGGTGCCATATTATTCTGCACAAACCACTGTTGTTCTTGCTTTATTCAAACCCAAATAATTCGTCTTCGCGTAAATAAAAAAAGCGATTTTAAATTAAAAGAACAACTTTAACACTGCCTCGTTTTCTCACTATTAAAATCATCTGAAACGGTTTCACCAACAGGCATTCACTTATATCGCCAGTATGTGATAAAACCTGACCTGAAGATAAAGTATCAGTCGTTTAAATAACAACTGGGTGAAGACACTATTCCCCGACGCCACTTAAACAAGATCACACCGAGCAAGCTTTGTAGCTCATATCGTAGCCGATAGTCCACAACTCAGATCCCGACCCAAAGCTGCTACCATGACGTGGTGGTCGGGCTTGAACGCCGCAATGACCCAACAAGCTATACTGGCTGAGACTTATGTCGCTTGAGGTCCTACCATGCCAGAAAGGTTGTTTGGATAGCGGTTAGACAAAAAGCAGTTACTCAACCCAATGCTATGACTCAAAGTAAATCACAAAATATCATGCCGGATCGGTCGGGGCCCGGATTAACAACGACCGCGCTTCCTGCGGCCTTGTCACAGGGCAGAAGTGATAAATACGCTACTGAGACACACCAAATGAAAAAGAACAAACAAAAACAGGCCGCATGTGACCGGCGTCAAGCACTTGTTTCCTGGGCTCTGCGGTCACGCAACCAACTTCCACGGTGTGGGCAGCCGGGAAGTAACAATCGCCCTCACAATCCGAAATGCACGCGAAACCTCTATAATACTCACTCATCTTTATCTTCATCTTCATCTCTATTATCTTGCCTTCCTTCTACTAATGTAACTCCTCTACTTGATGGCTCTTCACTTCCTCTTCACTCTGTGTGCACTGAAAACGACGGAAGCCAAAAAGCCACCATCGATAGTTTCCTAAAGCCACGCCACCAATTTCATATAGGAGCATTTAATATTAGGACACTCTGCCAAATAGGACAACAAGCATCACTAGCCAAGACAACTCAGAAGCTATTATAGTTTGAACCCTCAGAGAGTAAACATTTCAGTTTAGAGAGCGCAATAAAAGATTTATGAGAAAAAAAATAAATGGGAAATGAAATATGCAATTGATATATATACTCTACTTACATGGTAAGGAGCAAATTCCACCCAGCTTTTTAGGATCTGGAGATGCTAACCAAGACATGCCTAAAATACCTTCAGCCACTCTTTTATAACTGAGTAAATGAGCTAGACAGGATTGTTTGACATCGAAACGACTAAATGCCTACACACAAAAGTAATGTAATGTAAATATATATTTAATCAATAAATACATGTACGTGTTAAGATTATTGAGAATTTCAATAAAATAGTAATATAGAGATATAAGTATAAAACTTGGGCACTGTGGTAGATAGAGTATAACTCCATTATGGATAAGATTTTATTTTGATAAAGCACACAATGTGTTGTACAGTAATATTTACTGAAGACCACCTTTCGAGCACAATTTATCACTGCTCGTAATAATATCAAGTCACTCACACAACTTTTTTGCTCCATTTATATACATGAGTAAAATTGATGATTAGAAATTTGAATAAAATATAAGATAAAGTACATTCAAAAATAATTTTAGTGTTATCGATCAAATACAATCAAATGGGAAATAAGATGTTATAATGTGAATTGGATACATTTTAATATCATTTATTATCCTCCCATTTGACTGGTAGTAATATCTTCTATATCTCTGGTATTTGCTTTGAGTCACTTCTATTGCATGTGTTGGATGTGTAGACTCGATGAACCATGCAGGATTCAGTAATCAATCTCTCCCTATCTCCACCCACCTATATTACTTTTTAGAATTTTGACTCTTTTCCAACCACCCTATTGTATGATTGTGTTAATGCATGCAGTGAAATGCAGTGCTGAGTTTTTTTCTAAATTATTTATCTTTATGGGATCAGTCATTCTGGCCTTAGCTAGATTCTTATGTTCTGATAATCTCACTACTCCTGATATACTAGTTTGACCTGACAATCATTGCAGGGTAATAGATAAACTAAATTGTTTTGTTTTAAAGGCTCTACAAGATCCTTTAACCGACAAAGCTTGTTTCTAATTGAGTCTGTGGGTTTGAATGCCAGCCACTTTTATTCCTGCCTTGTTAAGAATTCTGCGTAAGGTTTCCGAGGTTCCTTCCTTGTATGGATCATCAGTAGTAATTCCATCTAAATCTAGAGAAGACTTCAGCTATAGCACACACTACATGCAGTTACACACAACCATACAATGGGATGGGATAGGATGGCAGTTTTGAAATCTAATGTCACAGGAGGGAGAGAGAGATTGATAACAGAAGCTTTGTTTATCGAATCAACTGCAAATACATGTAATAAGAATGATTCAACACCTGTCCTAGATATCTGGAAAATTCTACTACGCCTAAGACAAATAGGAGAGGACAAAGAAAACTATAAAACTCAAGTTTCAAAGTGGTGTGATTACAATTGATATGATTATGAACAATAAATTTTGTTCGAAACGTCATCCGTAAATAATACTGTTTCACTGTGTGATGCAGTAATAATATCTTCCATATTTCTGGTATTTGCATTGAGTCATTTCTGCTGCATGCGTTAAGCGTAGGTAGACTCGATGAACCAGGATTCAGTAATCCATCTCCCTCTATCTCCACCTACCTATATTACTTTTTAGAATTTTGACTCTGTCCCACCCACCCTATTGTGTGGTTGTGTGTTAATGCATGCAGTGCAATGCAGTGCTGAGTTTTTTTTCTAAATTATTTATCTTCGTCGGATCAATCATTCTAACCTTAGCTAAATTCTTATGTTCTGATAATCTCACTACTCCCGATCTACTAGTTTGACCTATGTAGTTAACTTAACTCGCAGCCATTACAAGGTATTTTGTAAATGATATTATTTTGTTTAATTGGGTCAACGTACCGGCTCCTTTAGCCTACAGAGCTTGTCTCTGCCTGAGTGAGTTTGTAGGTTTGAATGCCACCCTAATTCCTGCTTTATAGTAATATATGTGATAACCAGAAAAATTAATAATCCAGGCCTTAGGTTATCAGAATATTAATATCAATGTCCGTTCCAAAATAAAAACACATTTTTTCACCTTATTCTATCATAAATAGAAGACAAATAATTTGCCTTGAAAAATTCCAGTTAGTCGAGATAATGCGATAGTCAGTCTTTTTTTCCATTCATATGAAAGAAATTGGCTATATGAATTTCTTCTAAGCACATAGAATCAGCTTTCTCAGGTGGCTTCCGATAGCTTCTGTAGTAGGTAGGTAAAAGATGAACTTGTAGTAAAGTGAACTGCTATAAAATTGGATAGTCCAGAAAGGTTTTCTCTATCAGTTACCCAGGGTGACTTGATGAAAACTATACATTCTGTGAAGAAACCAGATCAGTGGAAATTTGGTTACCGATACAAAAGGAAAGGTGATTCATAGTGTAACGGAATAAATAATCTGACAAATCCCTCCTCCTAGGCGATCTAATTGGATGTTTCAACTAACTTTGCAATTATTATCCGTTTTGCTCCTAGACTGTATATATCATTGTTCTGACATTTGCATATCATCTGTTGACTTGATCCTTATCATCATTTGTCATTGTCACTGTTCAGTATATCATTGTAATGCTTCTCTTTGTGGTTGTGCAATACACTGATAATGTGTTGTTTTACTATGTTATTTTGTTTAAGTGAATCAAGGCCATTCCGACCTTGAACTATCTACGAGCGTGATTCGTGTAGGCAGAGTTTTCGATCCCACCTTGTTAGAAATATTCTACTTAACTTTAAGGTACTTCTTACAGTTAAATTTTGGTTAACTCAATTTTTCCTGTGGTACTTGATTTCCATTAAGAAACCTATTATCATTATTATTATTTCCTTTAATTCCTAGAGAAACATAGGGCTTCAGCTACACGTCTCTATTGCGTTCGGTTCTCTGCCAAAGTTTTCGCCTGGCTCCAGGTCTACCCACACGTTTTCATCTCCTCTTCACATGACCTCCTCCAAGTCACCCTTGAACGACTAACTCGCCGCTTCCCTTTCGGGTTCCAATCGAGCAATGGCTTGTCTAGTGATGTCACTTGATGGCTTCCTCAGAGTATGGCCAGTCCATCTTCATTTCTTCCTGCCTATTTGTTGCACAATCAGTTCCTGGTTGGTTCGCTGATTGCCAGAGATCCCTGTTGCTGATCTTTTCTGGCTGGCTATCTGATCTTGAGTATAGAGCGAAGATAGCTGATGATGAAGGTCTGTAGTTTGTTTGAGGTGCTGTTTATGATACGCCAAGTCTCTGATCCGTATAGTAAGTAGCACTGACTCCACATTGGAGTTGAAAATCCGGATCTTATTTTTGATACTGAGTGCTGTTGCCCTCCACACAGACTTGAGAGAAATGAAAGCTTATCTTGCTTTCCCGATCCTTGCTTTGATATCCTCGTCAGTTCCGCCTATAGTTGAAACGACGCTTCCCAGGTAGGTAGGTAAAGGAGGTTGCTTCTTTCAGGTTCCTCCCATTTATACTGATTGTTGTCTGTTGTTGTTGCTGTTGGTGTTGTCCAGGAACCTTCATCACTTCTGTTTTCTGTATGTTCATCTATCTTTTTCCTATCTTTGATGCCGCCTCTACCAACTTGTTGCTGCTTTTCACTTGCATATCTTCCAGTTTGTGAGAAATCAGACATATATCATCGGTGAAGTCCAGATCCTGCAAGTTTTTTGTGTGAGTCCATTTTATGCCTGTTTCCTCATTGCCCGCTGTTTGTCGCATTATCCAGTCTATTGCGATCAGGAAAATCATTGGCGATAGTAGACAGCCAGTCAGCCTTGTCTTACTCCCGTCTTCACTTTGAAGGATTCCGCAAGTTTCCCGTTGTGGATTACTTGGCATGCAGCGTTGTCGTACAACTGCCGGATGAGATGTATAATTGTCGGCGGCACCCCGTAGTAGCGAAGTAGTTGCCAAATCACCTCTCGATCGACGCTGTCGAAGGCCTTTTCAAAGTCGATGAAGTTGAGATAGAGAGGTGACTGCCATTCCAAGCTCTGTTCAATGATGATCCGTAGTGTGGCGATTTGATTGATGTATGACTTATTTCTCCTGAATCCAGCCTGTTCCGGTCGAAATTTTTCATCCATTGATTGTATAGCTGGCCAACAGTACTGTTGAGGTAATTCCGAGTTTTCGATGTTATCATTGCTGAACAGAACTACATAGGACTAACCACGGACAATCATTTTTCCGCTGTCTTTTCAACACTTTGTGAAGGTGCCTGTCTCAAGGAAGTTTTGTCAGCTATACAGGAGGACGCAGAGATCAATTTCCTCCGTTCAGAACGCAACGAGTCGGTTTTCGTGGTATTAAATAGTTTTAATGACACAACAAAGGACTATATTTTGACTATGCTAAAAGCGACATGTATTTGAAAACCTAAGTGAGTTTAAAATAGGTATCGTGTTTGCGTTTATTTGTATTGTATTGTATTACCGTTTCATTTTGAAAAGTTTGTGTTGATGACACCTGTCTGCAATAACAATGAAAGTGTTTTGATTAAACACCATCACACTCAAAATAACACACCAACTAAATCATTCGCCTAAGACATAAATATTGCCTACAAGTTCTACTGGGAAGCCACGACCAGTAGGGTACAGCAGGTTGGAGATGAGGCAGTAACTCATCGAAGAAGACATTGCGGAATGGCTGCACTATGTCGTGAACTGGCAGAAGTTGGAATTCATGGGTTGGCCATTGAATCGGGTCCCAGTGGCTCAATGGTCTACGAGCTAGACTTCCTGGTTGGGGTCCTCGGGACGGTAAAAACCAATGGTTGGAAACAATTGGTGACATGGCTCAAAATCGTTCTCAATGGCTGGTGCAGATGCATCCACTCCTTGTGACTTATGATGTCCAATTAAACTGTTTTGTTCTCCGTTATTACTATTCCTTTGTCTCACACCTCTGTTTACTGTCTATATTATGCATTTCTCCTACTTTCTTCTCTTGCTTTGTGTGCTACAAGGAGGGAGTGTGGCGACTTGAACTGCCGCACATATGTGCAAAGTTCTATGTCGAAAACTGACCGACCGACCGGTCTACGAGTTACCCTTGTAACCAGAAGGTCCTGGGTTCGAACCCCGGCGAATGCGTAGTGCTGAAGAGTCCAAAACTAGGAAGAAACAGCTGTCCAGTACTCCCAGGCTTTCCAGTGGTACCCTAATTGATGTCAACTCATGATGAAATCCTCCATGCAATCAAACAAAATCCCTACAAAACCATTACTTGAAAATTTAAAATTAGCTTTCAGTAGGCGAATACTGCGAAATCTAGTCGGAATACATTTAGAAAGTAAGCTGCAACAATGTGAATCCTAGGGAGAAAACGTAGACCACATTTTAGTAAAGTCTCAAAGTACTGATTCAGTCTGCAAGCTGTTAGACGGGATGAAAAATCAAGCTTATCTTAAGTGGTAGGACTTTAAAACCGACTTGTATATTTATATTTTTTTATTTTATTTTATTCTATTCTATTTTGATTATAGCTTGATTCCACACAGTATTTTTGGTACAAATATGGAATTTTCAGCATGTGATATCGGTAGCCCAAATTTTGCAGGCCGACCACTGATATCAGGTGTGCGTCGGCAGGGGATCGAACTCCGGACCATATGCATGGTTGGTGAGTCGTAACCGCTGTGCCACCCACGCACGCAGTACGATTAATCAGCACATTTCACCCAAACCTTTTGATGACGCATTCAGATTAAGACACATGAGAGTTTCACGGGATTTTTCACAGCATATACTGGTTGTTGTCGAAAACCTAAAGGAGTTGAGTGATTTAGCCAAACAACTGAAATCATATATACCCAAATGTTAAACCTTAAAAATGCAATCGCAAGCTAAAAGTCGGGATAAGTCTGACAGACCACTTCCTTCACTTTTCTAGGCAGCATGGTTTCAAATGCACTCAACTCTATGGATAAGGATGTCAACACCAGAATCAGAAAGGCAAGAAAGACACCTTCATCACTGTGAAATAAATTTGGAAATCTGCTTCACCCAGCCAGCATAAACAACAAGATTCGGATTCTATTCAGCACAAATGTGAATTCAGTCAGTTCTTCTTTACGGGTCAGAAACTTGGGCGACGTAGCAGGAAAAGTATTTCCAACAAGTTAAAGGCTTTTATCAACACCTGCCTTCGCTAGCTCCATACTGAAGATTAAATGGCCGGCCGGTCAGCCAGAAAGAATAAGCAACAAGAAACTCTGTCACCTGGATGTACCTGCATTCCCCAGTGAGTGATGGTGTTCCCACCGAGGCTCAAACCCAGTGTCCACAGTTTCAAAAAGCAAAGCCTTATCCACTAGACCACTTGAGACACGAGAGCCACCTCTTGTGCAATGGGTTATATTAATTATTTAATTGAATTTTAGATTTTCCCGTCGATTAATTGGATCGAAGTGCTAGGTCTCAGGTTAACATATCGGCTTCTTGTGCAGAATTAAATAATTAATGACCCGACGCACAAGAGGTGGCTCTCGTGGCCCAAGTGGTCTAGTAGATAAGGCTTTGGCGTTTGAAACTATGGGCACTGGGTTCGAGCCTCGGTGGGAACATCACTCACTCACTGCGGAATGCAGGTACATCCAGCTGACCACGAGTCCCAAATGGGACGAAATGCGCATCCTGGATTCCTCTGCTAGTCACTATCTACCAATTAACTTCTAATTACATGCCCAGATATCGTCGAAGCCTCTGAACAAGAAGCCGACATGTCAACCTGAGACTGAGCATTCAGTCCAATCAATCGACAGGAAAATCTAAAATTGAAATAAGAAACTCTGGCTGGGAACAAACAAACCAAAAGCCGATTGTTCAACAAATATGTAGGAGAAAGTGGAGATGGATCGGGCATACGTTGTGGAAGCTATCGAATGACGTCTCACGCAATGCAGGCCATCACTCGAGTAGAATCCCAATGGGAAGCGACGAGTGGGTCGTCAATGCGAGGGTGACATAGAGGAGATCGTGTGGCAAGGAGGAGATGAGGGATTATGGGCAATCGTGGACCCAAGTGAAGAGGACAGCAGAAAAGAGAACGAAGTGGAGATGTGTTGTTGACGCTCGGAACCCAAGGGAATAATAATCACAAAATAATGTATCTGGGACGATGAATCATCACACGCCTTTCTTGAATATTACAGAAACCAGTTGTACTGACCAAAAACAAAGTAGTTGAGTACAGAAATGAAACTGTGTTGAGATACCTGGTACCCTCATGTCCATATCACTAAACTATGCGCATTCTCACTGGCATAAAAATACATACGTGCGTCGATAGCACAGTGTTTAGGACTCTCGCCGATCATGCATATGGTCCGGGGTTCGATCCCCTGCCGACGCACACTCGATATCTATGGTCGGCCTGCTAAAATTGGGCTACCGATATCCACGCTGAAAATTCCATACCTGTACCAAAAAATACGGTGTGGAATCAAGCTGTAATCAAAAATAAAAAAATAATACATATTTTAAAATAAAAGCCTTACCTTCAACAAAGATGTAGCCGTCCACATTTTCCCGCCTATATCAGTTGGAGAATTGTAATGACCAGCATTAGATGTCCATGACTCATGAATTACAATCTGTGATAGTAGGAAAGCAAAAAACAGAAAAGAAAAGAAGGAAAGAAACAAAAATCATCAGCAAAACAAAGAAAACAAAAACAATTTTTAAGATAGGGAAAATACTGACTGACAACACTAACCTCTTGTAGTAAAAATCCATAACCAGTCATTTCACCATTTTGATTATCCAAAAATTTCGATGTGAGAAACAGATAATTTAACCTATCGAATAATTTAATCTTCAATAGAAGGAAAGTAGAAAAGAAAAAAGGTGGGTGATTAAATGTCAAAGAAATGATCAAATATTAAACTAACAATATGACTGATTGTTTTTGGTCCATCCTTATTACCCAAATTTGTGTAGAAAGCATAATCAGCTATAAGAGTTAAACGGCAAAATTTATGTTGTCCTTCGTGTGAAATTGAACGTTTTCGTCTGTTGTAATCATCTAAAAAAGAGAAACAAAAAGACAACAATAAACAAGAGTAGTCAGTGATAATGCTTGGATGAGTGAAGTGGATATCATGAAACTACTACTTATCTAAATTACTTGAGGTAGACTAATGCTCGACTAATGTGTTCGATTCTCAAATTTCTGTTTCTTTGTGTTCCAAGTGGGACATACGCCGTCAAGCCTTGAGCTTTGAAGTTTCAGTAACGGTGGTGTAACGACAGAAGACAAGCGTCAGGCAACAGATCGTTTATTGAGAAAATCAATAGACATTTATAGATTTTTATGTACATTATTATTCGTTATCGCTGGCAGAGAAGCAACCTCTTCTGATTGGTTGTTTTCCTGCCGAAGGTTATCCTGTCATCTCGCTAACTTACACCGTCTCTGGCGTAGGCGTGACATTCGGCTGTCAACCAAGGGACGTGTGTACTGCTCAGCAGTTCGCTCCGTCCTTCTCTATGGCGGTGAGACGTGGCCAATACGAGTTGAAGACATGAAGAGATTGTCTGTTTCTGACCACAGATGTTTACGATCTCTTTCTCGCGTTAGGTGGTATAATAAGGTAAGTAATGTTGACGTTAGGCGTAGTGTTGGGCAAAGAGGGAAAATCACTCGAAGAGGCTATGAAGTTACATAGATTGAGATGGTTAGGCCACGTGCTGCGCATGCCTAACCATCGCCTCCCCCACCCCGACGGGCATTACTAGCTGATATAGGTGCAGGTTGGAAAAGAGTAAGTGGTGGCCAAACAAAAACATGGCATCAATCCATGAAATCCTTGACAGTTAAACTGAGTCAGGTAGGGAGATGCAGACTTCCGGGTTGGGGCCCTCGGGACTCTAAGAATGAATGGCTGGAGACGAACCAACCAAAGACCAGTCACCCGACAGACAAGCAGAAGAAAATGAAGACGGAACACTGAGGAGATAGTTGGGTGACATCGCACGACAGGCCATCACTCGAATGGAACCCGAGTGGGAAGTGACGAGTTGGGCGTCTTAGGGTGACAAAGAGGAGATGAAAACTTGTGGGCAGTCTTGGGGCCAGATAAAGAGGACTGCAGAGAACAGATGTCCACTAAGAACCCAAGGAAATAATAATACAATGGTTGTAACTGAGATATTTTCAAGTTTTAACTTTTCTTGCCTATATGTCCCTTGTGCACTAGTGTTCCTCTACTACCACATAGAACTGATCAGTTAAGATAATTAATTTCAAAAATTTATGTGATTCACTAAGGTTGAGGTGAGCAAAATTTTCAAGGGTGTAGCTACAAACTCCTCCACACACTGATATCCACAGGTGAAAAAACGTCTTCTCTGAAAATTTAATTGGCCTCTAAAATGTCTTGAAAACGAAAAATCAATCCTTAAAAATCCACAGTGAAAAAGAATGCACCCGAAGTTCTCACAATCGCGATCGTTTTCATAAGACAGGACACAATACAAGAGTAAAGGAAGACTGACTTGAGTTCCAGTCACCGTAACGAATACTACTTTCACTTGTTCAGTAGTCACTGAGGTAGGAGAAGGTGCGCTCTGATTTACGCATTTACACAAAATGCTTAGACTATGAAACTATATGACCATCTCGGAAACACAGTACACTTTTATAAGAGAAGCTAAACATTGCAAGAGAGAGTTGTTGGATTATTAGGAGCGATATGCAAAAGACAGTGGAGTATGCTAATTAATCTGCAGTCAAAAGAAAGCAGAATTTAGGTAAACACTATTTGTTGCATTTCAAAGCTGAAATTAAGAATACCGAACAAACAGAACAGTAAATAACGACAATTAGTTTGAAGTTATGATCTCCAGCGAAAATCCCACAGAGATTTTTTAACTTATAAATAGAAACTAGCGGGAAGTTTCCCTTAAAATTAGATTACATGTCACATGTTCGGAGGTGTGTCGGATGACATTTCCAATATTATAGAAAAAGTCATGATTGTGTAATCTAACCAGAGTTACTCCTGGTGCCGTTGTGATGTTATTTTGGCTTTATAACGCTTTGATGCGTATAGTTTTGCTCTACGCCTATGAGCCCAGGATTTGCTGCACCCCCAAGAGTCCAATTATGGGTGTCTTCATGGAATTGTCGGAATCTATTAGCACCATTGTCAAAGTAATTCCGACGTTTAACAGTGCGTGTTTGGGCAGAGTGGAGATTGTCCTTAGTCATCTTCGGATATCTGGTACGAATTTAACCCCATTACTTGCTGGCAGTGTGACTGGTTGGGAAAAGCAGAAACATGACCAACTCATGATGTAGAGATATGTCATAAAAGATATGTTTGTCGGGTCAACACCTTGAGGTCCCGAGATATCATGAGATTCAGTGGCTCTAGATACTATTATACATTACACAGAATTGAAACTAAAGGCTACCGTGTTGTAATTTCCTCTTTTCTTCTCGTTCTTAAAGCAATAAAAAGTAGAAACCGACCCTTTCAATGCTCCTGACAATTACGCCTACCCTTACATCAACTTGAAACCAATCAGGAAATCTTCGTCACTCAGCATCAACAACAAAATTCGGATTTTCAATACAAACATGTCAAGTCAGTTTTGCTATACGGATCAGAAACTTAGCGGGTCACCAAGAATATTTCCAACAGCCTGTTGCAGACCTTTATCAACAACTGTCTTCGTTCTATACTCAAGATCAATCAGATGGCCGGAAAGAACAAGAACCAACAAGAAACTATGAGAACAAACAAAACAAGAACCAATCGCCCAACAAATATGCAGGAGAAAGTGGAGATGGATTGGACACTCGCTGAGGAGACCGCTGGGTGACATCGCGCGTCAGGCCATAGCTCGAGTGGAACCCGAAAGGGAAGCGGCGAGTGGGACGTCAGTGCAAGGGTAACATGGAGGAGATCGTGTGAAGAGGAGTTGAAACAGTATGAACTAACATGGATTCAGGTGAAAAGTACAGCAGAAGACAGAAGCAAGTGGAGGCGTGCAGTTGAAGCCCTATGTTCCACCAGGAACCCAAGGGAACAATAATAATAAATTACATTTTATTACTTTGTTCTTCAATTACTTTATTCCTATTTTCTATACACTCGAGTTTTACTATTTAGTGTAGCGGTCGGTCGGTCGGTTTTCGACATAGAACTTTGCACATATGTGCGGTAGTTCAAGTCGCCACACTCCCTCCTTGCAGCACACAAAGCAAGAGAAAATAGAAGAAATGCATAATATAGACAGTAAACAGAGGTGTGAGACAAAGGAATAGTAATAACGGAGAACAAAACAGTTTAGTTGGAAATCATAAGTCACAAGGAGCGGATGCACCTGTGCCAGCCATTGAGAGCGATTTTGAGCCATGTCACCAATTGTTTACAGACATTGGTTTTTACCGTCCCGAGGACCCCAACCAGGAAGTCTACATCTTCCTACGTGGCTTAGACTAACTGTTGTGGATTTCATTGACTGGTGCCATGTTTTCGTTTGACCGACCCTAGCTCTTTTCCAACCTGGCCCTATATCAGCTAACATTGCCCGTCAGTCGAGGAAGGCGATGACTAGGCATACGTAACACATGTCCCAGCCATCTCAGTCGATGTAATTTCACAGTCTCGTCGATTGATTTCCCCTCCCACCTACATAGCACTCGACGCCTAACCTCAATATTGCTCACCTTATTATACCACTTCACGCGGGAGATAGAACGCAGACACCTATGATCGAACACAGATAATCTTTTCATGTCTTCTGCTCTCAGTGGCCATGTCTCACAGCCATAAAGGAGGACGGAGCGGACTGTTGAGCAGTACACACACCCTTTGGTCGATAGTCGGATGTCACGTCTACGCCAGAGACGGCGTAAACTGGCATATGCGAACCTAGCTCTCTGTATTCGTGCTGAGATTTCGTCGGAGATCAACCCGTTGGGGCTAATGGTACTTCCCAAGTAAGTGAAGCGGTCAACGTGCTCTACCACTTCACTTCCTATTTTCAATCTAGAGGTCAGTGAAGTCCAATCCTGAAGCATCATCTTACATTTTACAGGGGCGAATCGCATGCCAAACATACGAAGATTGTTGCTCAAGGTGTTCAGTAGACTCTGCATTTTGATTTGACACTAGTAACTAGTGTGATGCGTCTAGTCCTCTCTTTGGTGCAGACTGAATTCTACTACATAATTATCTAAACTTTATAAATCTAATGTACACACACACAAACAAAATTGTATAAATATGCGATTGTACAGCTCAGTGAATGAATTCGCCGAAAAGAGTCTCTTCGCAGAACGCCTTCTTTTCTTTTATATGAATTCTAACAGTCAGGTTGTAATGTGGCCACCATTCTAGGTAGCTCGCCATCACGGTGTACATTGTTTGTGATGATATTAGATGGTTGTAGGCAATCGGCAGGAAGCCCAGCTTTGAACCTAGGTTTCGTGCTAGTTGGCACTCACTAGTCAGCAAGGCGTATCTGCAACCTTGAAGGAACTCATGTCCCTTCTGAGATTCGAACCCGCGTCACACAGTGCTGCAGTCAAAGACGTTACCACTGAGCTATTCGGGCCTTGCTGACGAGTGCCAACTAGCGCGAAACCTAGGTCCAAGGCTTCCTGCCAATTGCCTCCAACCATCTAATATCATCACTCTGCATTTTGTCAGCGTCCTCGCCTAGAAGGACTATATCGTCCGCGTATTCTAAGTCGACGAGATTATTCCTTGGTAGCAAGTCAATCCCTGAGTCGCTGAAGTCTGTTAGGGTTAAATCCATTAATACGTCTATGATGAAGTTGAATAGGAATGGGGATAATGGGCATCCTTGACGGACGCCAGTAGTCACGTGTAGCACGTCTTTTGGTAAATATACAGTACCAAGTTTGTGTTCTAAATACAGAAAAAAACATGAACTGCTTTTAATGACATATAACCGCTCAGGCCAGTCATCAGTACATGATTAACATAACTTGACGCCTTCCTGAATTTACTTTCATAAAATCTGAAATAGGGAGGCCACACAGAATAATGAAAAGTATAAGTAGAACTAAGGTCCCATAAAGTGCTATTTTCCCCTTTTATTGGTCGACTGAATTATCAACGTAGAACTTTGCTTAAAGTGCGCCAGTTCCAGTTGCAGCATTTCAAAAAAACACATAAGTTGACGGAATAAACGTAATGAACCTACAATGATCGGAGATGGACAGGAGACAGAATAGTCAGATGAAGATTAGTAACAATTTTCAGGGTCTGGACGAGGACAAACAGTAAATGCATCTGTACACATTTTCCAGCTATGTCACTAACAGTCTTCTGCCACTGATCGTCAGCAACGCGATGACCCTAGTTAGAATCTACACACACACCCTATGTAGCTCAAACTACCAGTTGAAAACTTCGTGGATTGGTACCGTATTCTGCTTGAACACTTCTAACTCTTTCCCAATCCAATTCTATTCCAGTTAACGTTGTTTTTTCTAGGAATGTGATGAATTAATATATATATATATATATCGTTATTTGTGTTCACATTGCTCCATCTAACTCGAGAAACTTAACGGGGCAAATGCGGCAGAAAAACCACTAGTCTTTCCATATATTTCAACTCCGATAATCACGTCTCAGCCAGACATTGAGACGGAGCCATCTGGCGCACACTGCACATATCCTTTGATGAATAGGCGGGTGGCTTTTGAGTGCCAAACAAGCACTTCGCATCCTTAAGGGCATTTCTAATACCATATACAGTCATCTTAACGATGCATGAAATCTTCAGATGAACTTGCCTAGTGCATTAATCGAAAATAAACATGTTGGAAAACTCAGAAATGAGAAAATTAAAACAGGGAATCTCGGTACCTTTTTCTAGATAAACCTACAACCATCACATATTTTCCGGAGAAATATACTACTAATATTAGTAGATCATGTCTTTTTTCACTATTTTTACATTGAAAATTAGAAATTTGTTGTGTATTTAATGTTTGTTTTTGTGGACTAGATTACTGGGATTACAAGTAAGTAAAAACTAAATAATTCACTAAACATAATATGACTCGTCTAAGCCTAAATATTGTAAACAGTGAATATAAAGGAAGATGACCAAAAGTGGTTATCTATCTGATGTGGTGAATTACGATATTTTAAGATACATAATACAAGTAGCAGAAGAGACGCGTCCGTATGAGATGGTATGTGCTTGTTAATTCATACAAATACCTGCGTTCTATTAAGTTTTCCAACTGAAACAGATAAATTACAGGATTTCATCATGAGCTGACATTGGTTAGAGAACCATTGGAAAACCTGGGAGTACTGGACAGCTGTTTCGCTAGCCTAGTTTGGGACTCTTCATCGATACGCACCCACCGGGGTTCGAACCCAAGACCTTCTAGTTACAGGGCGAGCTCGTAGACCATTAAACCACTGGGACCCGATCCAATGGCAAGCCCATGAATTCCAACTTCTGCCGATTCACGATATAGCGCAACCGCTAACCAATGTCTTCGGCGAGTATTTGTCCTCACACCAAACTTGCTGCACTCTACTGGTTATGACTTCCCACTAGAACCCCAGGTAACTACCTACCTGAATAGGGCAGGTCGCCAGTGAGCATCTCATTTATCAACCAAATCCCTACAAACCAACACTTGAATATCAATAAAGTTTTTGTTACAAATTCAAGAACACACATGTATCACATTTTCATAGAAATAGAAAGTATTTAACATATTTACAAATTTCCACTGGAAACTGCAAAAAAATACAGTGAGTACTAAACATCAATGCAGTCTTTAAAGGTCTTCCGAAGAAAAGAGAAAATTGTAAAACAGACTGAAAGATACTCGCCTAAACCATACCTATGATTAATAGATGTATTTGTGCTAGGCAATAAGAATAGGATAAATTAAAGATTGCCTAAATTAAATTAGATTAAATTAATTAGAGTATGAATAACTAACCAAAAGTGTCAGTTTTTAGGGGCCAAAATGTAGCTGACGAAGTATAGTGCATTGGTTTACTACAATGCAAATAGTAGCAAATAAACAACAGCACACTACATTCTTACCTCGACGATTGTATCACGTGAATATCTCTGAGCCGATACATCAACATGGAATTATTTCCAATGTAAACTGTATAGTCGGCCAAAGGCTAAAAGTAACAGTTAATATATGACAACATACTTCAATAACATATATATCTGAATTTATATGAATATGTGCACTTAGCACTGATCTGTGCTCATCCAAATGTGCTAACACAAATGAGTGATTTGACTCTGATACATATCCAGTGTACAATTCTGCATATTTAGTCTTTGTAGGTAAAGAGCGAGTCCGATTGGTGCTAATAAATCTGACTGTGAAGTTAGATGTACGAAACGACGCTTCACGACGTAGAATAAGATACCATGATCTGTGAAAGAAAAAAATTATCATTTAATAGTAACAACTACCTTCCCCAAGCATAAAACGCAATTTGCTTGGTCTCACGTCCATTAGAATCCCGTGTAGTACGAAGGAATGGTTTATCGAATAACTGATATTGTCTTAGTTGTGAGAATATGCTCGATTCTGAAACCAAAATTTGAATCTATCAACTAATGAGTAAAAATTACCTGCTTTGAAAGTAAACTGGATAAACAGGGCTACAAAAAACAATAAATACATTGTTCACAGCCTATTATTAGCTGTTTAAACCTCATAGTGAACTATGAGAAATATCTGAACAATATCTGAAAGTTTTATAGGATAGCGCACATATGTTGATTGAATTATGGGAACGACGATATCAACAAGAGGATCTAAAACTGACAAGATGTCAAGAAACAATTTTTAGTTAGTTACACGATAACGTTTTTCCCAATCTTGAAATTACAATTTCACGGTTACACTGTTAATAAGACTGTGGCACAGTGCTGAATTCGGCTTTCTTTTCTTTAGTAAATTCCTAATTAGAAAGTGAGAAAAAAGCGAACTAGTTTCATGACCATAGAACCCTTCCATTACTCCAGACATTTCTAGTTAGATAAACAGTGAGACAAACTCATCATCATGGTTCTTCAAACTAGACCTATACAATCAGTTTATGATATTCTGAAAACTACATGTGAAGAATTTACTGAAATCACAATATTTCGGAAAAATAACAATATAAAAGGGAGGAAAATCTCTGAGAAAAGATAAGATGTACACAGGAAGTGTGTTAACCCAATCTTCTGAGTACGAAAAACTATTCTTAACAGTAATTTAGGCCTATTATTTTATGCAATTCGCACGGTATGGTTTCAAAGGCATTGAACACCATAAAGTCGTTTGCTTCCCAAGCGAATCACATGCTGCACACAGAAAGCATTGATACCTCCAATTGACTAATACATAAAAAACACTGACTATTGTGATGTTGTTACTTGAATGGCATTATATCGTCTAACTGCTTAGTCCTATTAACAATATGAAGCATGCCTTTACAGCACACAATTGGCCAGGCTAAACGATGGACATCCTGACTAAAACTGGAGTACCTAAGCTAACGAAACATTTCTAAATCTGTACTGCATCATTCTTTGAATACATTATGAATATAATCAGCTTTACACTGTGATACTTAAATTTACCAAAGTGAAAACAAATAGCACACCAACAACAATAATCCGTAGTCATAAGCCTTCTTTTAGTTATTAGTTTTCCGCTATTAAAATTAACCAATAAGCACATAAAGTCGTTTTTTTTTGTCACATCGCAAAACGACATATACGCCCAATCCAATCGCCACTTGTCCTATAATTTATCCTTCTCTATGTTAACATTTCATGAATATATGAGATCTAATGCAAGAAAAACCCTTTATCCAGAATAAAATGCTTAAAAGCCTACTGCGAAATAACGTCTGCAATAATCTTATGTAGACTTTCGTAAAATTGGAACCACTTTAAAACTATTAAGAAACAAGATGGCTTAAACCAAATCAAGGACAAGCAAAAGGTAACCATACAAAATAGCAGTTCAACTCAAGGACCAACAAAGTGAACCTGAACAACTAATCATATCCTCATTTGCACAAAGAACCCCAAACACAAATCAAATTATTTCACTATGGTTGATACAAAGTTTGGTGGTCCCGGGGAAAAATATTTCTACCGATCAGTAAGGTGTGTGTTTCCAGTTGTTGTCACTGCAGCTCATTTACCACAAAGTGAATCAGAGTTCAAATTTTATTGACGCAATAACTGTGACTAGTACGAATTCGATAGGATTTTGGGAACACTTGAAAAAAACGAGAATAATAAGTGCATTGCGAGGAGACTTTATACAATCATACACAATAAACGCCTGTTTTCGGGAACGACTCTGATGAGTTGTTTAAGAGCACTCAGTTGAAGGTTAAATTTGGTTGCCATTCTTTATAATCAGCAAGCGGAAACAACTGGGTTTACTAGCCATCACTGAGGATTTAATGGAAGTAAAATTAGATGAATAGGTGAGTCAGTAAAATCAGGCAGACATTTAAGAAATCAAGGCGACGATTTCAATACAGTAGCCATCATACCAAAGCCTTCCCGAAAGCGATTCAGACTAAGCATTTTTGGAAAAATTTTGACTGCCTATATATAATATCGAAGTCTTAGTATACTTACATGTTCATGCTAAACAACACAAAGTTTATATGCGATAAGTCTCCCTGTGAACAGGTGTGTTGGTACGAATCCAGACTGCACCATTTAGCTAATTTCCGTCAGTTAGACAACGGTTTACTACCGTCTTTACATTCGCAAACTAACGACACTCTTACTCAATTAAAAGACACTAATTTTTTCAATAAGCATACAGGTCACAGGTATAATTTTAAGTATATAAATATTTGCAGAGAGCTCTGGAGAGAAATTTTGGTAAGCAACTTATATGTTGCTGTAGTCTTTACTTATCCTCCGACAACTACTAGCATAACAGCAGTTAACAAAAGAGTAACCAAATTATCGTGGAAAGATTTCAAAACTATGAAGCAGTGTATAGGATTGGTCTTATTATAATAAACGCATGATACACCGATGCACATAGATGATCAGTCTTTTGGAAAAATCTGAAATAAAACTGTTAAATTCGGTCTACAATCGCCTGATTAATTTGCTAGGCTACGTTGAAACAGACCCTCTCAGGTTAACTACTTACACGCAAAACTACGAAAAACCCCGTAAAACAACAGTTTGTAAGTAGCCCCAAGGCCACACATAACCACTAGTAGTCAATATCATTTTTACCAGCTGGTGTAGATCCAGTCGATCCCTTTACCTCTTTTTATAACCAATTAAGTAATAGCTCCCGTCTCTTGGTTGATGATTGTCTAAGTGTTGTTTTTTAGTTAAAGCCTCACTAGAGAGTTTTGCTGAGGTGGTAAACACATTACTGGTGGTTCTAGGAAAGGCCATACAAGTCTCCCATAAAGTTCCGAAGCCATAATAATAAGTGTACGCCATAGTCTTTAGGTAGTTACTTACTAAGACTCCTAGGTAGGTATGTCCAAAATAGAGGGGAAGACGGTCCCTTGTATACTCCTAAACTCTGGTACTTGATGCTCGTATTTACATGACTGAAAACGTTCATCTTTTAGATTGTTGAGGTGTGTCTGCGCTACAAGTCAGTCACTGACTTCCTGCAGATTTCTCCGAATTTTAGGTCATCTACTTAGAAAATTGCAGGAGATTTGATTAGCCTAGGTGGTTCGTTGATATACAGCTCAAATAAAAATAGTTGGAGTACAGTGTACTATTAATATATCCTGGTTCAGGAGGAGAGTTTGCAGTTGGTGTTGGCTCCGTCTCCCACTGGGTAGGCTGTCAATTTTATGAACGATCTATTATTTGGCTTCCCAAAAACTATGCTGGTAATTATGGTTTCATACGTAAACCATGGCGAGTTTTTCAATTATTCTTCTTATTACTTTAACTGGAATGTTGGTAAGACTAATAGGCCTGTGGTTGTACACCTATAATCTCCTTTTTGCCACTGCACATTTCCAGTCGAGAAGTAACACTCTTTCAATGAGAGACAGTCTTGGGATAGGAGTCGACATACCACCTATACGAAGTGCCTTGAGAATCTCTTGGTGAATTCCACTGGGCCTCTACGTTTTCCCTGTATCTAGTCTGTCTAGTAACCGGAATGCGAAATTTTCCAGCATCTACAAAAAATATACTATTTTATTTTGACACAGCCAGAACTGGTGCTGCGTTTGTTGGCGAATCCTTAATATAAACACCATCGATGCTCCTGTTTCTTTCCTGGATCACTGTGATTATTCCTGCGTCAATAACCAGGTTGCGGATAACCTTTTGCGTCTTGTTACTAAATTTATTGTATTAAAACAGTTTGCTATGAGCAACATGCACTTCATTTCCCACCAGCATTTGGTGGACTGCTGTGCAAACGTTCTGCTTAGCTCCAGTGTGCAGCTGACCGGCGTGTGGAGTCTCGGGGGAGCCAGACACGTCCTGCGTCTGAGCTCTCGCCTAAGCACAGAGAGAAAACATTTTCTTAGAGGTAGAAGTTGAGCAATAAAATTACCACTTTCAGTGTGTTAGAAAACCATTTCAAAATTTCAGGAGGAGTGCTGGGAATCATAACACGTAGATCACTAGATATGCTGGACTACAGTCAGCAATAAGTAGAGTGATGTCGGTGTTAAGTCTCTTAATCGATTGATTGTCATTGAAATCGCCGACTGCTAAGGACTGAAATTTCAGTGTTAGTAAGCCTAATGTCCCCATGTAAAAGCCGTCTACTACACAGTTTTGACGGCAATATGTCATGATCAAACTAATGTCCTGTCCCTTTCATTTCAGTCTGCAGCGTGTAAGTTAGCATAATACATAACATAAAGTGAGATCCTTTCTATGCTCCGTCCTACTAATTGTGGATGACTGCTCAACCACATCTGAAGGTTAGTCTTTGCAAAGCGTATGGTGACGTTTTTCAAGCTAACCTCTCCACTTTCGGTCTTACATATCGTCCAGAATAGTGTAGTGATGGAAACATTTTGATTGTCAGCTCGGTCCATTTGTTCAGCAAACTGTAGATGTTAGTGGAGAATAATATTAAATTGGTCTGGTGTTCATCTAGTAACCAATCATAGTTCATCACCTTATACCGTTCAGTGCAGACTAGAGACCTTACAAAGTATAAGGGGGGCATTGCACCCAGCAAAGTGCCCAAAAACAGTGACAATTAGAAACCTTGCTTCCAACCAAAAACGAAGTTCTCCGATCTGAACGGCACCAAGTCAATGCTGTCCAAAAAATTTACTGATTTGTCCATGGTCTTCAGAATTCCATTGGTTATAAACAGACAAGAATTATACTGCAGCCATTTCGAAACATCATTTAGCGTCATAATATCTGCTGCACTGGACAATGCTTCCAGGCAACTGTAAAGTTCAAAAAACGTTCTGAGAATCAACAAGGACATTTCTACACAAAATCACACTACCAAATCTTTCAATGTGCAGTCAGATAATAACCGTCACAGACCCCGCCCGAATAAAACTAGAAGATACAGGCTTGCAGTTTTCTACCAAATAGTCTACTTTGCGTAGAAGCTACATTTTTACCATAGTATTATTCGATGAGGACTTCACAAGCCTCAGAATACCAATGCAATCTGTTTGACAGTTGAATGCTACCAGTACATGGAAATCACCTAAAAAGCCTTACAGAACCTTCAATGAGAACAGAAGTTATGATGTAGACACATTTTCCACCGTACGTGTCTTTGGACAGGGATTATTTTAAGTTGAAAGATTATCTCGAAGTGGATTAAATATATATTTGCATTGACTGGTGCAGTGTCATATTGTTCGTGTGGTTTCAATGTATAAAAAATACCTCTACTTTATTAATATTGTCCCATTGTCTGCTTAGCTGACTGCCAGGCTTCAGATGTAAGTGGTTCTCATGATTGTCGCAAGTGAGGTGGAGAACGTAACTGTTCCTTTAATTTGCATCAGTGTTTTACTTGATGCGCTAATTCAGTGGATGGTACTATTATGCACCTGAATTTATTCATCATGAGAACTTGATCTAGTATGCTCTCTTCTTGTCAATCTTCTGAGAATGTATATCTAATATCTACGAGATTTATCAGTCCTAAAATTCTTCTATACATGAAGCAGAACAGGTGAACTGTCACAATTAAGTGTTTGGACTGCATTATGTGACACCGTTATCCTCATAAACACCATACATCTATATATCCTATGATATTTTAAGTATTTCTCTAAGCTGTTAACTGTTTAGAGTTGAGAATTGTGTACCTTATATTTGACGGTTATAGTTTCCTAAATATACGAATGTAACTTCTGCAGGATTCACAAAACCATGTTTATTAGACATTACTGAGATTGTGGGTTAATTTCTAAGATAAGTATTTGCAACACTTTCTTTAAAGTAAACGTAATTAGTGTGAAGTTAATCTGCAAGTAATCTTGATGAGAGAATGATGACTTAACAGTCTGAGTGTTTCAGAAATTTTTTCCAAATCTGCGTATGATCCTCTAATACTGGAAAATATATGAGGTCTATTTATGCATATAGCGTCAATATAAAAACCAGCTGTAGACTACAATTACTTTTATTTGCATTGGAATTTTATTGAATATTAATAGGATCAGTTTATTTACTTTGCATACTTACATGTAAAATTAGCTTTTATAACTTCATGTTTTGCTATTCTTTACATATGCTATATTTTATCTAGGTATATAGAGGTTGTCGAATATGAAATCGGCGCAAATGTCAATCTGTCAGACTAACGCTAATATCCCCCATCAAAATTTTCCTTTGTCAATCAGTGAAATGTTCAATATACCCATAATTTCTACTTCTTTTGAACTTCAGCGCGTCTCTATACTATGGGCTTTTGTTACATGTGAATTCGAATTAATGCACTTTAAGCTTAGTGGGATGGAAATTTACTGAAGTATTATGAGACTGTCACTTTAGTCATTCGTAGGATTTCGCGTCTGTTCCTATACAATAGCACATTTTAAAAATCAAGTAGGATTTAGCAAGCTGAATAATAATTCTGTACTGTTCGATACGCTGAAGTCGCCTGATTTAGCCAGTTGCAAGTCTGTATCCTGGTAAACGTCAAGTCTATAGTACAAGTAAATGTAGTAACTTTGGGTTAATGGCTACTACTATTAATATGAAGTGGCATCATCAAATCGACTGTTTACTTGATAATCAGCTAAGAAACAAATTTGATTTATTCCTAATATACCGTTGAATCATGTGGTGCTAACTAATACTTATCATCTTTATGATCAATAACTGCAGTATTTGCATATTTACTTCACGGATATTCAATAACTTAAGCTTTATACGTCTATTTACAGCTAGTAGACTTTGATGATGCCACTCTATCCTGCCTGACCTGTTCTTGCTCTAACCATGATATTAGCGTGTCTCACAGAACTCATTACACAGAGTATCACTCTTAAATATACACTAAATGTAGGCATAACGTTTATCAGCTAGGAAAGCAAATCAAAGTAGACGCCTGTAATCTACGTTCATTACTTAAAAACTACCTAGTGAGGCGTGTAAGCACTACTATTTAACCCATTGTACAACACTTAATACAGTAGACATAATCAAAGTACGCTGCTTAGTTCTGTGACGCATTACCTAAAGCTATGTAGCTACTTTAAAACAGTTTCCACCGAAGGTAATCTCCTGTAGCTGCTACCTTGGTGAGAAACGTAACATTGTCTTTGAATTACAAAGTAAATGTGTACTTGCAGAAAACTTTCTGGGTAAAAAGACTGTCTTCTAGTCAAGGGAAGTAAATATACCCACAAAAGCGTTTAGAGGTATTTATCCAATCACGACAACGCCTCAACTGACTCACTATGCTCAGCCACTTGAAAGGTAAACATAAATCTACTGAAAACAATATGCTTCTGGTTCCTAAGTGTCGTAATATACCACGAGGGAAAAACCATATCCATAGGGTTATAAGCGTTAGACACATGCTATTAATCCAAAGCATAGTAAGTAAGGTTCTCAGCCACACAACATACTACTTTGCTATCTGATCGTCTAATAGTTTTAGTCTATGTCTTGCCAATTAAGATTAGAAAAAGAATACCACCGATTAAGGGGTGTATATTTAAAGTTTTCTCAAAGGTCTTGTACGCTTCACAATTGTAGGCACTGAGAAATTACAGATATCCAGAAAATAAGAATTCTATTATTTGAACTGAAACAAGCTGTGTGTATTCAGCCAGTGAAATCTTCCGGAATAATAATCAGCTTCTGAAATTGTTTTAACTTCGAAAAAATTACCGATTGTAGAACACAATGTGGTGGGTTATTCTTGCTAATTAAAGTCTTA